AATACAAAGACCTTGTCCCTAGGAGTAAGAGTCGTTTCTGCTGGAGGATTAGTATAAACATATGGATGCTTATTATCAACTGCTTTAGCCAATCTATATAGACCCAAAGGAATCAAGTGTCTTTCAATAGACAAATAATTAAATAATTCTCCAAAAGTTTTATTCTAAATGAAAAAATAAAAATTACTAAATAATCTTCAGGAACTGGAACTTGATATAGATTTGAATCCTTGATGTCTAAATCTTCAACAATAGCTTTAGTTATTGGGTTTGACTATCTCATGCCAGTAAGAATTTATTACAATATGGTTACAATATGTGGATTGTAATAAGCTTGACAAGTGAGTGTGTCAATCATGGCAGAAATGTAGACTTCTCCTGAGGCTTATAGAGGTGTCTAATTAAATTAATACTTACTAATTCATATTTGAAATCATTTTGATATTTATAATCTTTATCAAGTAAAAATTAGATATTAGAACTTGATACTAATTCAATCATGATCTAAATAGAAGGATTAATTTTTTTAATAGCTTTGTAAATAAAAATGCTTTCTGCATCATGCATTTAATCTAAAAAATCTTCACTTTCAGTTTTGTTAGCATCAGAACTTTATGCAAATATTACAGCTTTATCTGCACAATGAATACTAGCTCTTTATAAATCTTCAGAAATAAGTGGAGATCCCTATACAAATTTAACTTTTGGAAATCGATTGATATATTCCCAAATTTCTGTAGGTTTTTCAGGTGCTAAGATAACAACATATTGAATTTCTTTTAAATACTTGGCTCTTAAGGGAAGCAAAAAATAATAGATGGAAGGATGGATTCCACAAACAACAATATGATTGTTGATCTCAGGTTATTCTAATAAAAATATTGAAGTTGCATCCATTAAAGAAACAGGTTCATTAAGAAGGAGATAATCTTTCTCTATAATATATTAATCATCAAGTTGATCTTTGCCAGACAATAAATGATCTTCTGCTTAATTCTCTTCTTCTTCATTAGGTTTATCTTTATCAGAAGTATTTGGTTAAGACAATGAGAAATGATAATTAGCAATTTCTTCAGTTGTCATATCATAAGTAGCTACAAGATCTGCCACTTTTTTATCTTAACAAATAATATATGCATGGACTTTATATTCAATAGGTATAATGAATACTCCAGGATTAAGTGTAATAATTGCTTATTTTCCAAAATCTAATTCCAAACCAAAAAGTATTCCTGAAAATTCATTATAAACAATAGCTGCTACTTCACTAAAAGTTTTGCCTTGAAATTTAAAACTCAAATCAGTTCTATAGATTTCATGTCCCATTCCATCAGTATATTGAGTAAGCCATTCTGAATCTAAACTCTCTTTTTATTCTCCTGCAGAAGTAACTAAATTACCTAATAAAGTAATAATGCCAGGACAAAAACAAGATTTGGCCAATAAATTCATTTTAAATTCTTCAACTACAATAATTTAATCAGTTATCATTTTAACTCCCAATGATTATTTATAGTGCATTTTACTTTCTGGTTTAATTAATTACATACATAATCTAATATTACAACCAGTAAGATGATTCACATATTTCTTTATCAATAAGCCAATAAGAATATTCTTATGATCAGCAGAATGACTATCTACTATTTATTTATTAGTTAAGATAACACAAGCCTTTGCTTAAGTTACAGCTGCTCTTCTTAAATCTCTTTCAATCATAGGATTTCCTTATAGATAAAGAAGAAACATTTCATAACGCTCATTGTGTAAGAAGTCTTCCATTTCTGTATTAGGAATTGAGGGTTTCAAAATGATTGCATTTTTATCTTAACCTCCATGATCTTGATGAAACAATTCATTACAAAAGTTCTTTAATGAAGCAACACTAACATAACCACAAATTATAATATGAGGAATTTCATGATTAGGTTTATAGAATGATCTTGCATAAACACTTTACAATCCCATTAATCTAATTAATTCATTCATCTATTTTGGTATCACAACAAGTACAATAATAATAAGTACAATAACACATACTCTACCTTCTTCACTTTAAGGAATCACATCACCATAACCTACTGTAGACAATGTTACTATAGTAAAGTATATCATTTCATGAAAATTACATTTATCAACCTGATTTGAGCAACCTCTATTTGGATCATTTGCAATTAAATCTTATCTTTTTGGTAATTCGAATGCATATAATACTCCTGCTGTTACAATTATTATAGTTGTAACAGTTGAAAATATTACATATATTTATCTTGTCACTCCTCCATATTCAGTATCTGATAATGATTAAAATTTGTTGATCATCCTTATGATTCGGAAGACTCTTAAAATTCGAGAAATATTGATCAATCGTTATAAATAATTCCAATTCTCTACAGATTAAATTGTGAAAAGAGGGAACACAGTTAACAATTCAATTATAGCAAAATCAGAAAATATGTATTACAATCTATGTTAAGCAGCAAACAATTTTAATAAATACTCTGTCAAATATAAAGAACAAACTACAATATCTAAAGTAGCTAGCCACTCAACTGAATCAAAATAAGTTGAAACTATATATATTCCTACACTAGCCAAACTTGCAATACCTGAAATAATCTCCAGATATCTATTTTACATCAATCATACCTCCCCACTTTTTAATTTAACAACTTCTCTATATATAATCTTAAAGTGATTCTATTCTCGTATTCATCATTATTTTCAGGTTTCAATTACGGCAATGGTAATACCATAGACAACTTTGGATTCATTTTTTATTATTAATAGTTTACTATATTAATAATTTATATGGTGTCTAGTTGCTTAAAGGTGAATTATTTAGTTATCTCTTATTATATCTAAATTATGTGTTCTGCTTAGTTATTCTGTGTTACTTAATATTTATATATAAAATATAATATGAAATCTGCCAAATCAGCTTATTCATTGAGTACAAATTTAGCCAGTTAATACACAGAAAGAGTTTATAAAACTAAAAAGCCTGTTCTTCGTATAAACACAGAAACTAGTCAGCGGGTCAAAAGTGCTTAGATTGGATCCTCATCTAGAAAATGCTATACAAATACTAGTAGAATCATTGAAAATTAGACTGTGTCTAAGATTCCTTTACAAATATATTAAAGATATTTAGAAGAATCTTTCATGTCTAATAATCATGATAAAATTGTAAAGGAAGCTAAATTAGTGGCTCCTACTGTAATTAATCATCTTAATATTAACTTTTATGAAACTCAATAATTGAGTCATGGAATGAGTCTTTATGATAAGCATCCTAATTTACTCTTTAAAATGTATGAAACACTTATAAATCTTGATAAAAATGTTATGTAAGAATTGTTCTTATATGAAACTTTGGCTGATAAAGATTAAATTGGAATGAAAGAAAAGAAGGATAGAAACATTACAGATAATTTTAGATTTGATTTTTTTATCAAGGCTATAAATATAATGGATGACTTTATAACAACATTAATTAAAATTATAGATGATAAAACTCTGGCAGTATTTATTGAATAATTATGGAAATTTTGGGTAGTACTCCTTGATCTTAATACTTAATGGTCATAAACTAGATACAAAGCCTTATTAGATATTCAAGTAGGAGCAGTAGAAGCATAATTAAAAGATTGTTAGTTTAGTTTGGATGCTTTAAGAGAGAAATATATTTAAAAGATAAAAGGACATCAATTAAGAGTTGCAGTAGAGTAGAAAAAGAATTTACATCTTAAAGAAGAGAATTTGAAATGGCTTTAAATGTATTCTGAATTGGAAACAAAAATAGAGGAATTAAATAATTTAGAGAATGCAGAGGGAGAGATTAGAAAAATAAATTTAGATTTAAAAGAAATGGATTTTCAATTTAATGTTTTTTAAAAAAATATGATAGATTCATAAAAATAAGTATGTACTACTGTAAAGAATTTGGCTACTCTTATAAAAAGAAAAGATTAAAAATCTTATACAGAATTTACATATGAAGAATTAAATCTATTAGAGTATCCTGGAATTAATGATGATTATTTACTTATAAATCCTATTATATTTCTCATGTAAATAAGAGCCAAAGATTAGAAGACAACTCCAAATGATTTTTTATCATTCTTAGTTTAAAATATACATTAATATCCTAATATGTCAGGACCTGAATTGTTTATGTAATATATAGAAATAGATTTTAATAAAGCACATTTTCTAAAAGATCTAATAAAAACTACTGATGATGATATAATCAATATAACAAAATTAATTTTAGGAATAGGTAATAAAAATCCAGTTAGTCATCTTGTAATTTTGGAGACAATTAAATTATGTAGAGCAATTGAAAATCAATATAAAAGTTTGGAATAATCTCAAACAGCAAGTCTTAACAAAAGAACAAGTCTTATTTTGAGTTAAGAAAAATCTTTAAATCATAATATTGATTTAAATCAAGAGTTTCCAGTTGCAGGGTATATGTATAAATTAAATTTTAGATCTGAAATTACATTAGGATAATAATTATATGAGTAAATACTTTAAATTAGTACAACAACTATCAAACTTAGTAAAATAATGTATATTGCAATTAAATATTATGCTGAAAAAGAATATGGTAAATGGTAAAGTTGTAGTTATATATGGTAATAAGGTACTTTGAAAATTGAATCTCGTTGGGATTAATAAGAATAATTTTAAAATATGGATAGTTTTCTTGTAATTAATAGATTTTATATATAGGTTTGGTAATTTGTAAATCTAAAATATAAGAATTTGAAAAATTAAGATCAATCTTCCTTAGATTAATGTTTCAATTTGGTATATAAAATTTGGCTTATGAGACCTAAAATATTTATTAAACCATCTAATGATCATATTGAAACTTAGAGAAGCTCTCATACAAATCAGAAACCATAAGACAAATTGTCAATACCATATAAAAAATCAATAACTCTTATAGACTCTTAGAGAAAAAAATGATTATATATTATAATTAATTAATGAAAAGAGCTTTTTAGTAATTTGAAAAGTAAGTAAGACAAACATATGAATCAGCTAAGTCAGGATTGAATTATAAAGTATTGGTAATGTAAAATAAAATGATATTGGGAAATATTTCAATTCATCTTAATAAACAAAATTAGATTCCAAATATGTTATTAGCAGATTTATTTCAAAAAAAACATTTTAATTTGACTAAAGAAGATTAATGTATGTATTTTGAAGGAGATTTTACATCATTAAAATCTGTTGATTAAGATCTATTATACCATTCTGAATCAGGTAAGAGATTTTAATTAAATAGGTTTATTGGTTTATGATACTTAATAAAATAGACTCAAATTGCATTTAACAAGAGAAAGTTCATAATCTCAAGGACTTATTCTTGGATATGTTATGAATTAATAGAGTTTGTATATTATTCAGAAATTAAGAGATTCTAATCCTTAATGTGAGGTGACAATTGAAGGTTCATATAATTTTTATTTAAAAAGAACTTTGAATTTTTTGATTGGAATATCTCTATTATATTTATTGGATGGAATAAGTTTTAATCCAAAAAATGATCCTACACCTATTTTTGTTAAGAATGAGATATAATATAAGAAAGTTTAATAATGATCATTTTTTTTTTCTATATTTTTATACAATTTCTTAAATCTTTTCGATTATATCAACTATCTCTCCAGATCGATATATTTTGTAAACATTTTAGAAATCAAATTACTTTAAACTAGCAATCAGCAAAAAACAAATTTTTGCTTCTTCTAAAGTTAAATCTGATTTTCCATTTTCTTAAACTTTCATAACTTTATCTTTAAATAATTCTGTATATGTTTTTTCTGTTTGAGTCCAATACATTTTTATAAATATTTTTTATTCTTCTTAATCGAGCTCTTTATTTTTTTCTGGTTTTATACTAGGAAGAAGTTTATCATCTATTTTTTTAAGATTAACTTAACAAAACTTTAATAGATTTTCATAAATTTTATTTCTTCTTTTATTAATTAATTTTTCATCTAAATTGAATTGTTTGCTTTAATCATTTAATACACTCTAAAATCTCAGCATAAATCCTATTTAATCATAATGAGTAGGATATTTATTTGAAAAGATTTTAGTTGCAAGTTTTTATAATTTCAATTTTGTTGGGTGTTAACAATCATCATCTGTTTAATCAGGGTCCTGAAAATCAAATGGTAATGGAGAAAGAAAATCTTTATTTTAGATTAATTAGTTCATTGTTTATACCCATTCCGAAGTGTATAAGTTTTATAATTAATTTAATGAAGGTCCACTTTGCATAAGTGAATAAAATTAAAGATAACTTTATATTTCATCGAGATTTGGAAGTTATTTTTCTATATTTGTTATTTTTCTCATTAAATCTTCAAACTAATTATTATCACTTTACTTTCGTTTATATAAATCCTTCATGATATTTATCACTAATTAAATATCATAATTAGCTTTGTACTTTTATTGAAAATTAGCATTTGGACTAAATCCATATTCAAACAAATATATTTTATTGACTTGACGATCAATAAAAATATTTTTAGAAGAAATGCATCTTGCTAAAACTTTATTTTGATGAAGTTAAAAAATAGCTTGGCACAATTACTATAGTATTTCTTTGAATGTCAGAAAAGAAACTCTTTCTAATTAATTCAAAAACAATCCATCCTCAACATATTATAGAACAATAAAATTTTATGAATTCTCATTCAAAATTTTCTCATATTACTAATTATTATATCTTTTTAGTTGAAACGAATATAATAGTTGATCACCACCTTCTTAAAAATAAACTTAGAAAAAATCAAAAGCTCTTTGATTATTATTTTGCAATTAAAACCCAATAAATTTGATTATTTTATCATTGAAAACCATCATTTTTCTCTGAAACTGAGCTAAAGTTAAAATATATTTCTCCTATGTGTCAACTTGGAGCATTTTTAAATAATTAAATATAATAATATATATAATGATAAAGTAAAATCCTAGTCTAAGCTTAACATAAATATAATACATAAATTAGAAACAGATATCCGACATCAAAACTTTATTGATTTTTTGAAAATATCATAATTTACTCAAAAATAATCATTATTTTATAAGTGAAATATCATTGTTAAAATATTCTAAGTTAATTCAAATGACAATTACTCTAAACATTTAGAATAGTACTGAAGATTTTTTCTATATAAAAATATATAATTAATAAATTTATTTATATGAAAATATATTGATTTGTATTAATAATTCTAATTCTTTCAAGGTGGAATATTAAGATGTTTATAAACATAAAGGCTTAACAATAAATTTTCAAGCAGATAAAAGAATATCCTTTTTATAGGTTATTATTAGTTAGAGAATATTTTTTTATAAATTAAAAAGATCTATTCTCGAAGAATCTTTTCAGAAAATGGAAAAAATTAATTTTAATTATTAAATATATATACATGTATCTATTATATGATATTTCTAGTATTGAAGTTAAACATTTAGATTACTGATTAAATTAGCAAAAGAACCATTAATTAATTTATGCAACAATAAAAAAATTTATTTGCTCACTATAAATAGCCATCAATTAAAGAAGACTCTTATGTGACAGGTTTAAATTTAGCTAATTCTATGAAGGGAAGAGAATTGGTACCCTTTATTCCAATAAATGGAAGATAAGTTAAGTATAATATTAATATTAAATAAAAGCTTTTATTACTGTGGTCCTACCATATATAAAAAATTTCATTTGGGACATGCCAGGTAATGTTGTAATTGTTATTTTTATAGAACATATTTAGGTATTGATATAATAAGAAGAACATTAAGAGATTATTTTAATTATGATCTATTGAGTGTAATGAATATTACAGATATAGATGATAAGATTATTAATGGTGCAAAATTAGCTAATTAAGATTTTCTTGAATATACAAAAATATGGGAAAAAAATTTCTTTTCTGCAATGGAATCACTTAGTATTGAATTACCTGATGTAATTACTAGATGTAGTGATTATATTCCTGAGATCGTTACATTCATAGAAAAGATTATTTCAAATGGATATGCTTATAATAATAATGGAAGTGTATATTTTGATATATAAAAATATTTGGCAGATGGAGTAATTGTTATTTTAAATTTATCTAGCATACATATCCAAAAATGAGACCAGAAATAAATGTTGATTAATTATAAGAAGGAGAAAGAGAATCATAAGTAAATAAATAATCAGAAAAAAAAAGTCTAAATGATTTTATTTTGTGGAAGGCAAGTAAACCAGAAGAACCTAAATGGCATAGTCCTTGGGGAGAAGGTAGACCAGGATGGCACATTTAATGTTCTGTTATGGCTAGTTCTATTTTGGGAAATCCAATCGATTTACATGCTGGAGGAATTGATTTGGTATACCCTCATCATGATAATTCTTAAGCATAAGCTGAAGCATGTTTTAATTGTGATTAATGGATCAATTATTTTATTCATCTTGGACATCTCAATTTTGCTAATCGTAAAATGTCTAGATCACTTAAGGATTTTATCACTATTGATGAAATTCTTAAAAAATATACTCCTAGATAGATTAGATTAAATTTTGCAATCCATAAATATGATACAGTAATGGACTATTCTGAAGAGCATTTTGAATAAGCAATCTCAATAGATAAGACTTATCATAAATTCTTTTAAAATACTTAAATTTATTTGAGAGATTCATAAATAACTGGTCCTTAGAAATGGATGCAAAATGATTTTTAGATTAGCAATCTACTTAGAAATACTAAATAAGTTATCCATATTGAATTGCTTAACAATTTCAATTTTCCAACTGTTATAGATGCAATTGATAAATTAATAAACCAAGTTAATGTACAAATTACAAATAAAACAGTTAGAGCTCCTTTAGTTCATAGTGTTGTTGAATATGTGAAATTTATTTTGGGAGTAAATATATTAGTTTTAAAATTTAGTTAATTGGACTCAATTATTAAACTTAAAATAATAATTCATCAGACATCAAATTGATAATGACAGAAGTATGTTCCATAAGAGATTAAGTGAAATTGGCTACTAGCAAGGGAGAGTTTGAAGCAATATAAAATATTGTAACTTAGAAGTAATTCTAATATGAGAAGAATTTATCAAATGGAATTGTAGATTGTGTTAACTAATTTTAATAATAAGTCTTAGTTGCTTCTTAAGATAAAAATAAATAACTATTGTTTTAATTATGTGATAAATTAAGAGATGAATAATTATTTGATTTAGGAATTAAAATAGAAGATAAATAATAAGTATAAGATTATATAATTATAAGGTATCTATTTGGAAATAATATGATCCTTAAGAATTGAAATTAGAAAGAGAATAATAATAGAAATTAATTTAATAAAAAGAATAAATAAAAAAAAAAGAAGAAGAGAAAAAGAAATAAGAGGAATTAATATAATTAGAAAAGTCAAAGATTCATCCAAAAGATATGTTTTTAACTTAAATAGATAAATATTCAGAATTTGATGAAAATGGTATACCTGTAAAAGATAAGAATGGAAATGAATTATCAAAAAAATAAAATAAAGTTGTAAAAGAATTATGGGAAATATAAAATAAGATTCATAATTAATATTTATTGTAATTATAAAAATAATAATAATGATTTAGAATATATATCATAATGATAAAATATGATATCATTTTTATTATTAATTTTCTTCATTTTTAACTTCAGTTACAGATTTAGAAAATCTCAATAAATCAACTTCACTTGTTACAAATGATTTTAGTAATTATTACATTTCTTCTTACTTTTTCTTAGCTACTTTTTATTGTGTACTTAATTTTTCATTTGGTTTAAATTACATTTATAAATCAGGATCATTAATTAATTAAATTGCTCTTGATATTTTTAAAGCTGTTTATTCTTCAATTTTATTGGCTTACATTAAAGCAAAACTTAAATAGATATAATAAAATTATTACTTTACAGTAGATTTCATTTATTCATGAGAATTTCTCATATTTTTCAATCTTGCACTTTGTCTTGTATAAAATTCATTATATCTTTCAATTTATTAAGATTATAATCTTTATAATTATTAACGATTTTAAAGAAAATTTAACACTCTTTATTAATATGTCTCTCTTCTTAAAATTGTTTCAACTTATAATTTTTTTTCCTTTCTTTCCAAAACATCTTCAACTTTTCTAGGTTCTATTCTAGGAGTACTCAAATGTAATTTCTAATTAGATTTCACTTTTTAAAATTTTTCAATTTCAATTTATTTTTTTTATTGAACTTATTCAATTGATTTTGCAAGTAAATTATTTATTATTGGTTATGATTTCTAATATTTAAGTATTATATTTTCAAGATTTTTTTCATAATTATCATAAACTTGTCTTTTACCAAAATCTTTATGATTTTCAGAATGAAATTCAACAGCTCCTTTTTATTTATATATAATATAAATTACTTTTTTAATCTAATTTCTATTTCATTCTTTCTAAATATTCTTCATATTTTTAATTTTATTTTTCTTAAAAAGAATGTTATCTTTATTTTTTTATTGATCTTGCTTATTTCATATGTTCTATCTATTCTTTTCTCATTTCCTCTAATTTATTTATTTTTTCATCACTAATACATTTTTATTAAATATATTATTACATTAATGAAGCATTTTTTAATAATTCTCCTCTTTTGTTTATTAATTCATCCTCCATTTTCTTTTTCATTTTATTATTATTTTTTAATTTCTCATTAACTTTCTCTAAATGATCCTTTACAGCAATTATTTTATTATCATAATCTGTTTTTAATGCTTTTCTTACTTTCTCTATCTTATCTTCTTATTGAATTTTATAGTCAGTTCGTTTCTTTTCAATATCTAATTAACATAATAATTATTTTTAGAATATTTGTTTCTTTTTCTATAATTTCTCTGATATTGATTACAAACGAGACTCTATCAATTACTTTGATTCCATATCAACACCAAATGTTCTTCCTATTTCATTCTATATACCAAATTATTCTGATTTCTCAATTAAATCATGTCTTCGTTTCACTTTTCTTTTTTATTAAATAATCTAATATCCCCATTCTAATATATCAAATTGTTATAATTACTTGCTACTTTGTATGCATAATATTTAAAACGTAATGCCTAAACTTATGGATCAGGATCATAAAAATCTTAAAATTTAACAATCCTAAAAAAGTCACAATCTATTCCAAGTTATTATCCTAACAATTAAGTTTAAGGACTTAAAGGTTATAAGCATTCAATAAATTTATTCAACTAATCAACTGCTTCATTAGCCCTCCCTTCTTTAATTAAAACAAGAGCATCAGGTAAGCTGAAATTCATTATTTAATTTATAATTTTATAAAACTTATATTCATAATTCTCTTCAAAACAAATAAATATGATATTTTTTCATAAATTAGTTTATTAGATCATATTTATATTTGTCCTATAATTAATTTTAGAAAATGAATATCAAAGTAATAAATTCTGAAATTAATAATAAATGAGTTAATAATTTACTTATTATTCAAATGAACTTTGCTAAATACACTAAGAACCATGTACTAATATGTGTATCAATACTAAATGTCTACAACCTTTATGTCCTGAATGTATTGAAATTCATTTTAGAGAACATAAAGAATGTTAAATTGAAAGTTTGAAATCCTGTAGAACAAATTGTTCAAAAAAAATACGTTCTTCAATATCAGAAATGAATTAAATCTTATCATTATAAGAAATGAAAACTATTGAAAACTCTTCATAATATATTGAAATGTGTAGAGATTCACTTTAATAATTGAAAAAACAATTAATTGATAAAATTGAATTATACAATAAAAAGTTACTTCAAGATTTCAACAATCACCTAATCTAAACTTTTAAAGTAATAATATTCATAATATTTTTTTCTAGGATTCATAAATTAAAGAAGTCTACAATAGAATCAAGAATTTAATTTAATAATTAGATGAATTAGGAACAAAATTAGAAACCTAAAGTGATTGTTAAATCAAAACTATAAGAAGCATTTACTTACTTAATACTACTTAATTGATTTAATCTGCAAGCTAAGAGGCATACAAAGAAATTATGAAATTAAGTAATTATTAAGTATATAAAGTTTAGAATTTCCATTACTTGTTGTTTCTCAAAATTTAAATTAAAAACTTGATGAATTATTTGTTTAGTCGATTTAGATTCAGTTTAAAAAAACAAATCCAAGTATACTAAAAATTGAAGATAAATTATAATAAAATATTCAACCAATTAATGTTTAAGATATAGCATCTATGAATTAAAGTCCATTGCTTTCATAAATTAATGAAATTGAATAAGCTAAAAAATAATCAGAATTCACTATCACAATGGAAGATTATCTATTACCAAATGTTTAAAATAAAGTGCTTCATTATTTTAAGTATAACAGTTATGAATTAAATTTAATCAACCTTGATAACCCTAAAATCACAAAGAAAATTAACTTAAAAATATCTTTTCCAATTCCAGTATTTCATTAATCACTAATTACTAAAACTGGCTAGTTATATGTTATTGGAGGAACAACAATTGATAATAACTATCCTAATAATAAATCTAATGGAATATACTTATTTGATAAAAATTCTTTAGTGAATGTTGGGCATTTGTTGATTAGTCGTTCATCTCATGGTTGTTGTATTATAGGAGATTATATTTATTCAATATCTGGTCTTGGACAAGGTCAAACCTTAGAGAAAAGTTGTGAGAGATTTAATTACATTTTAAGAAAAAGTGAAAAAATTCAAGATTGTTTATATCCTTCTATAGCTTCTTGCTGTGTAAATTATAATAATCAATACATATATAAATTTGGAGGATTGTATGAAAAATAACAAATGAATTTTATTGAAAGATTTAATATCAAAGATATGATATGGTAGGCTATTGATCCTTAAATAACTAACAAAGAGTAAATAAAATATTTATATTTATAGTATACCTTTATTTAAAGGTCTTAAATAGTTTGCAGCTGGAGTATAAATATCTTCCAATTCTTTAATGATTTTTGGAGGATATGATGAAAATACTGTAAGTTCAAATCAATCATTTTTATTCACTATAAAAAATGAAAACCATATTTTGCATATGGTAAATGTAAAACCTCTAAAAATACCAGGAGGATTTTGGCATTCTTAATGCATAATATATAAATAAGAATTATTTGTTGTATAGAATTAAGAAAATAAGGATAGTGAAACTTTAGATACAAAGACAATTTTAAGATTTAAGGATAAATGGACAATATGCTGAATATAATATATATATATAGAATATTAATATTTATAATTTAATAAATCATATATACATATTAATTAATAGAATTAATCACATTTATGAAATCATAAATAATGGAGTGCTTCTTAAGTTAATATTTTATTATCCTCAATTCCTTTAGTTTTATTGATATTCTTTTTAATTACAATCTTTTTAACGAAATTTCTTTTAAACAAATTTTTTAATATTCTTTTAATCTAATTCTGTGATTTTAGTTAGATCTTTAGGAATTTAATTATCTTATAATTATTATTGTTAATTATTTTATTCTTTTTAATATTCTTAATCATTCTTTTTTTCTGAATCTTAATCATTTTCTACTTCAAAATCATCTTAATTATCTTAATCATCATCTTAATCATCATCATCTTTTTCATTATTATCTTCATCATCATCCTTATCTGTATTATCTTCATCATTGTTATCTTATTCAAATTCTTCATTTTCTTATTAAAATTATTATTATTATTCTTATTGAGCTGCTTCTAAAATTTCAAATTCCTTATTATCATTAAGTTCTGATTTAATAAATCCTGATGCTTTAACTTCATTATCAAGATGTTTGATAACTTTAATATCTTATAATTTCAAATCTGAATGCAAATTTGCTTTATATCTCCTTTAAAAAAATATTTTAAAACAATCTAAATCTCTTTAGAAATAGAAGTCTGCATTTAAATGCTAAGTTGATACCATTTAAGGAAAGTCAATAATAATAATTTTTTTTTATTCTGTTATCATAAGATTGAATTCATTAAAGTCTGAATGTATAAGCCCATGACTTGCAAACTTTTCAATTAAATTAATGCATTAAATAAATACTCCATCTACATCACCAGTTCTTAGATACTACATAAAGTATATCTATCAATAAAAGACATTACAATAGCATGTCTATTCCAATCATATGGTTTTGGTGTTGGAAATCCATTCTTATAGCAGGTTTCCATATATGCAAATTCTTTAATACTAGCTAATCTACTAAGATATAGCAAATTATATTGTGTTCTATTTTTAATGTAATCTCGCTTATTTTTAATAGTTCTAAAAGATGTTCGACCTAATCTAGATAATTTAAGAATGACAAAATTGCCATCTGCATTAAGACATTTATAAATATCAGATTCTTTTCCAACTCCTAGTTTAGAAAGGACTTAGACAATTGTTCCTCTTTTGTAAAAGACACTTAATGCAAGGAAATCATATCCCAAATATGTGAGTCTATAACCATCATCTAGAATTTATTAATTTGAAAAGCATACATTTTTTAGCCACATGTTGAACAAGTTTATGTTTTAATAACTATTGCAAAATTTAATAAGCATTGGCTCTTTTCACTTTTGAGATTTTTTCAATTAATGAAACAGGTACAAATTCATGATTCTTCATGCCCATTTCTACAGCCACAAGTACTCTTAACTCATCTTTGGTCAAATAAGCTAAATACTAAAGTAAATAATATTATATAATTACAGATGTGTCCAACCTCATATGTTAAAATTAATTTGTTTATTTTTATATAATTCAGACATCCTAATTGTTATATATTTCATTAAATGCTATTATAATTAAATTTTTTAATTCTATATTTATCATAAAATTAAATGAGTTTATATAAATTCTTATTAATATTCTAATACTCTTTTAAGATTTGAATTGAATTTCTAATCTTATATTGATTCATCCTATAATATTGATATAAAAATATTGGTTATAAATATTTGATTGATAGAATATTTAATAAGAATTTATTTTATTAATCACATAACTATTTAAAAAATCTCAAATAAGTTGAGAGTGATTAGTTGCTTGCTCTTCTTTATTTATTATTATACTAACATCTTTGTTAGATGTTATAGTTTAAGTCTTTACTCCAACAAATCTTGATTAAAATAATGGATTATGATTAGCTGCATTCACTAATGAACCCATAGACTCATTTATTTTTGTTTTAGAACTAACAAATCGAGTTTAGAAAGGAATAATACCATATTGTTATTATTAAGTCTGTTGAGGAAAGCTAGTACTTTATAAATTGTTATTAGATGGAATTCTTTATTTCTATTCTAAAGATGTATTTGATTCTGATATTTTTTATTATTATACTAATTATGTTTAACTCTCATTAGAATGAACATTTTCTCTTTTAGGTCCATTTAATAAGACTGTTTTGGATACTGTTTTATTTGCAAAATAGCTTTGTGTATCTAAATGGGTTTCTTCTTAATAAATTTTTGTTTTTGGTTTGAATTGTTTTCTTAATAAATTGGAAACTTCAGAATTTATAACTGATGTAAATGGCATCACTTTTTAAAGTGCATTAATTTATTCTTTGATCTTTTATGTTTCCATTTTTTATTTCAATAAATATTCCACTTCATTAAAATCATCAATATGAGGTGGCCAATAATCATATACATTTGGAGCCCTACCGCCATGTCTTAATTCTAATTATTTTGGTTTGATGTAATTAAATAAGAGAGAATAATCATTGTCTATAAATTCCACTTTATGTCGAGAATTATAAGGAATAAACTATTCAACAATTTACCATGTAATTTAAATTGATGTTTAAGGTTATAAAATAAACACTCGTTCTAAATAACATGGAAAATTTTGTTTCAATACTTCAAATATCTAATTCAAATGCTATCAATATATAGAAATTAATGTACATTAAAGGGTATCTTATATGCTGTTGTGTTTTTGGCTTCAACAATTACAAACCAACTTTCAACTTTTCCTGATATTAACATATAATCCTTAACCACCATAAATACAATTGAAATAGCCCTCATCATATCTTCAATAGGATAAGTTGAGATATCTAATTTATCAGTGTTTACAACAATAATTGGCTTGAAACCTTATCCTCTACCACTAATGTATATAGCTCCTTATTTCTTAAAATTAATGATTCATATTTTACGATTATTTGTTCTGTGTTTAATGTCCATTTAAAATTATTTGGATTTTTAATCCATTAATGATGAGTATGTATATGCTTAGGTTGTTATATAGGTTTATAATACTTGGATTGTCTAATCAAAATCAAATTAATTAGCATATAAAAATCTAAGAGATAGTTCATCTGACAATTATTAATTATCATCCTCTAAATATTTTTTGAATGCATCTAATTATTGATTCTCGTAAAGGTCATATTCATGTTTGCCTGATTCATCAATTCCAAAAATTTTTCTTATAGCATTTTTACCAACTCCTCTTTTTAAATCAATTCCTTATATATGATCATTAATGCTTACTCTCTAATTTGATTGAATCAGATTAAGATTATGAGAGTCTTAAACGTTCTAAGTTGTACTAACTATAAATTTTATTCATTCCAAATTTAACACTTTTTTTGAAATTAATATAATAAATTGAAGAAAGATTGAAATATATTTTATAAATGTTGAACATTAAATTAAAAGATTATTCATTTTTTAAGTAATTTTATTTATTTTGTAAAAATACTATAAAGTAATATTCCTGAAATATCATTTTAAATGAATATTAATAAATAATTAAAATTACTATATCTATAATAATTCAAATTTAATTTATGAATATATTCACTATATACCTTCCAATTAATCGTATTGATTATATTATCTATATTATTATATTTATATAAATAATTTATAATTTTAATGAATTCAACTTAATAACCGTCAAACACAACTCCAAATTAAATGAGATAACACTCTAAGTCATTTTCTGTGTCTGCTACTTAAAAACTTAGTTAGTAATAAAAAAAAATTGAAAGATCTTATGAAGAAATTATAGCAGAAAAACAATTATCTAATGTAGAACAATAAAGACTTACATCTGTTTTCAATTACCTTTTAACTTTTAATAATGAAAAGATTAAATTATCTGAACCTGGAATAACAGCAGAAACCTTAATGAATGCACTTGAAAAAGTTGATTATATATTACCAATTAAAGAAGCAGAATTATTCATTTGGGAAATAGATGAAGATGGAGATAAAGTTATATAATTTTATGAATTTCAAATGATGTATAAAAGATGCATCTTTGATCCTACATTATTAGAACCTAGGTACATTTTGTAATAATAATTAGAAATTTATTTAATATTGTTTAGTTCTTTATGTATGATAAAGCAAAACATGGCAAGATAACAGTAGAAGATACATTAGAATTATTGTTTGTGCGTCATGGAAGAGGAGGTTTAGATGAAGAGATTTAAGCTATATTTGGTAGAGAAGAAAAAAATAGTGATGGAACTGAAAAAACATTAAGTTTTACAGAATATTATGAGAAAACAAGAATTAGAGATTTTTAAAGAAGAAAGGAGGCAGAATAAGCAAGAAAGGAAGTTAAACTTCCATTACTTGATGATAAAAAATGAATTTATTAAAATAGTTTTATCAATAATATAATATATACTATATAAATATACAGAGTTAACTTAATTGTTTTGTCTTATGTATTTATTAATACATTTTATGACTATAGAGTATTGTGTAAATAAAGAAAAATTATTATATATCATATATTATAATATTACTAATATATGTTAAAATGATTCATATTGTTATTATGTATTTTACATAATAGTTGAATATCAAATCAATTATAGTATAATATCAAAATAGTATATAGCAGGAATAACTAAATTTATATAATATTGTACTATTATTAAATTACAATTGAGGATTAAAATCTGTATTAGAGAGATAAAATAAAATAGAATAGAATGGAATCTGATTTTGTTAATATTACAGCAGATGGTGGAGTTTAAAAGAGAATTCTTAAAGAAGGACAAGGAGACTATCCTCAGACCAATTCAACTTGTAAAATATATTACTTGGGCACATTGGAAGATTAAAAGCCATTTGATTCAAATATGGGATAAAGTAAACCACAAAAACATATCCTAAAAAGAGGAGATAGATGCAAAGGTTTTGAAATTGCTTTACAATCTATGAAACCTGGAGAAAAGTCTCAATTCAAAATAACATCAGAATATGGTTATGGACCTGATGGAAACATTTTTAAGGATGTTCCAAAAAATGCTAATTTAAGATATGAGATTGAATTATTGAGTTTTAAATTGGAGAAAAAGAAAAGATGGTAATTAATCAATATAATCTAGGCTAATGAATCCAGAAGAAAAATATGAAGAAGCTCTTAAACTTAGAACAAAAGGAACAAAATACTTTAAGAATTAGTAATATTAAGAAGCTAAAGAAAAATATAAAGATGCCTTGACTTATTGTGTTTTGAATACAAAAGAAGGTAAAGAATTAATAGCAAGTTTGCAATTAAATTTATCTATCTGTTGTTTTTTAAGAGAAGAATTTAAAGAATCAATAGATTATTGTAAAGCAGCTTTGGATACTAATTCAAATGATTAATAAAATTTAAAAGCATATTATAGAAGAGCCATTGCATTATAATAGATAGGAGAATAGGAAAAAGCTTTATAAGATCTAAAATCTGCTTATAAATTAGATCCTAAAAATACAGCTGTTATTGAAGAACTCTAAAAAGTCAAAGAACATTTAAAATAAGCTTATTCAAAAGAAAAATAATCTTGGTCTAAGTTATTTGTAGATAAAGATGAGAGTTAATAGAATATAAATAAAGAAGAATCATAATAGCAATAAGAAAGTGAATAGAATGAGTTATCTAAGAATATTGAAAATATTGATAAGGATAATTAAGTTTCTAAAGATATTATTAAAAATGAAATACCATAAATAAATTAGAATGAAACTTTGTAATAATTAAATGAAAGTAGAAGTATTTAAGAATGATATAAAATATTTAATAAAATAATGATATTTAAATATTATCAGATTTTATAAGTCCTTATAATTTTAACTAATATTTAAGCCTTAATTAAATTTAATTCAACAAATAAAATTAAATATAATGGATACCTAAACAAAATTAACTCTTTTAGGCACTGTTTTTTCTGGATTATTCAGTGGTGCAGCAATTTACATTAATATTGTTGAACATCCTGCAAGAATGAGTTGTGATATTGATGTTGCACATACTTAATGGATACCATCATATAAAAAAGCAGCAAAATGGCAAGCTTCTTTAGCCTTTCTAGGTAGTTTAGTAGGAATTATAAACTATGTAAAAAATAAAAACAAACTCACCTTAAAAGCTGGTTTATTACTTTTCTCGGTTATACCATTCACATTTATAGTTATAATGCCAACAAATAAAATATTGTTAGAATAATAAAATATATAGAAAGAAAGTAAGTAATCATTATTAACTAAATGGGGTTAATTACATGCAGTTAGAACAGCAGCTAGTTTAATTTCTTTTGGAATATTTTTATATGCTTTAGCCAAAAAATGATTATTATTTTATAGTAATAAATATTAATATTTTAGTTTAATCTTTTAAAATCATATCTAAAATATTCTTTTTTAAATTGATAAAAACCTCCTAAATTTGAATGTTATTTTATACATTTAAATTATGTGATTTATGATATTATATGTGCTATTGATATTTAATTCTTATAAAACTTAGTAATTTATTTATCTATAGAGTAATTTAAATTGTTTTTAAATTAGTTTGATTTGTTATGAATATGAATAAAAGTAAATATAAATTATAACCAAACAAAAGAATATAATTTAAATTGCAATGATAAATATTGAGTTCAATAAACCAGAATAAAAGAGGCAATAGATTTTGAGAACAAAAGGGATGGAAATGAGAATATCCTCTAAAAAAAAGTAAAAAGTTTAAGAAAAAAAATAATAATAAAAAGGAAATGAATAATAAAATGAAAAATTACCTACAATTCCTTAATAGGAAATGTCTTAAATTCCTGAATAAGAATAATAATTAACAGATCATTTATAGAAACCATAGAATGAATAAAAAGGATTAATTAAATTGAGCACNATAAATAAAGAAGAATCATAATAGCAATAAGAAAGTGAATAGAATGAGTTATCTAAGAATATTGAAAATATTGATAAGGATAATTAAGTTTCTAAAGATATTATTAAAAATGAAATACCATAAATAAATTAGAATGAAACTTTGTAATAATTAAATGAAAGTAGAAGTATTTAAGAATGATATAAAATATTTAATAAAATAATGATATTTAAATATTATCAGATTTTATAAGTCCTTATAATTTTAACTAATATTTAAGCCTTAATTAAATTTAATTCAACAAATAAAATTAAATATAATGGATACCTAAACAAAATTAACTCTTTTAGGCACTGTTTTTTCTGGATTATTCAGTGGTGCAGCAATTTACATTAATATTGTTGAACATCCTGCAAGAATGAGTTGTGATATTGATGTTGCACATACTTAATGGATACCATCATATAAAAAAGCAGCAAAATGGCAAGCTTCTTTAGCCTTTCTAGGTAGTTTAGTAGGAATTATAAACTATGTAAAAAATAAAAACAAACTCACCTTAAAAGCTGGTTTATTACTTTTCTCGGTTATACCATTCACATTTATAGTTATAATGCCAACAAATAAAATATTGTTAGAATAATAAAATATATAGAAAGAAAGTAAGTAATCATTATTAACTAAATGGGGTTAATTACATGCAGTTAGAACAGCAGCTAGTTTAATTTCTTTTGGAATATTTTTATATGCTTTAGCCAAAAAATGATTATTATTTTATAGTAATAAATATTAATATTTTAGTTTAATCTTTTAAAATCATATCTAAAATATTCTTTTTTAAATTGATAAAAACCTCCTAAATTTGAATGTTATTTTATACATTTAAATTATGTGATTTATGATATTATATGTGCTATTGATATTTAATTCTTATAAAACTTAGTAATTTATTTATCTATAGAGTAATTTAAATTGTTTTTAAATTAGTTTGATTTGTTATGAATATGAATAAAAGTAAATATAAATTATAACCAAACAAAAGAATATAATTTAAATTGCAATGATAAATATTGAGTTCAATAAACCAGAATAAAAGAGGCAATAGATTTTGAGAACAAAAGGGATGGAAATGAGAATATCCTCTAAAAAAAAGTAAAAAGTTTAAGAAAAAAAATAATAATAAAAAGGAAATGAATAATAAAATGAAAAATTACCTACAATTCCTTAATAGGAAATGTCTTAAATTCCTGAATAAGAATAATAATTAACAGATCATTTATAGAAACCATAGAATGAATAAAAAGGATTAATTAAATTGAGCACTGAATAATAAAGAGCATTAGAATTTGCTAAATTAGTTTTGAATTTAGCTGATCCTGCTGAATATACAGATGCTAAACCAATAATTAAAAAGAAATAAGACTTTACTGCTGATCCTGAAGAGGAGGAATAAGAAGAAAAAATAGATAGAACTGATTTTCTTTCAACTGCTGAATATTAAGAACTTTTAGATGTATATTCAGATTACAACATTGGAGAGCTTGTTTTGAAATTTCCAAATCCTGATTGGGAAAAGATGGTTGATCGTCAAGTTGATATTAAGGAAGCTGATAAGTATATAAATAACAATACAAATTTAGAGTATTTAGTAGTTAATTAGCAATATCAGCAGAAGGTGGAGTTCCTTAATCTTAATTAACAATATAAAGATAAGTATTCTTATCTTCATATTTATAATTGGCTGATTATGTAGAGACTGATAAAAAGAAACTTAAAGAAACTTTAAAAAAGACTTAAACAGGAGGAACTTTGAAAGATAATCCAGATTATTTAAATTATATTGCTTTTTTTGAATAATATAGATAAGTTAAAGATTAAAGTGTAGAGGAATTATTGAGGAAAGATGAACCTTTACAAAGATCACCAAGTGAAGAGATAAATTAAGAAGTAATTTAGATGATGAATTTGATTCATTTAAAACCTAATGAAAATTTAGATATTTTCTAAACTATAAATAAAAAATATTGTAAAGGTGGATTCCTTTATAAAAAATGGACAGATGATAAAACTGATTATGATTGGATATAAGTTGGATAAATACCTTAAGATTTTTTAACTTTAATAAGGATGACTGTTATTACAAAATTATGTAGAGATGCTCATTTTCATTGTAGATAATTTATTAGTAGTGATGATCAATTTATATTTGTTGTTTTGAAGAGTAAATTAGAATATGTTAGATATTAAGCAGAATTGTAAAGAATGCAAAAATAATACGAATTAGGATATGCAGATATTTTATCACTTGAACCTTGTGATAAATTACTTAGACCTTTAAGATTAAAGAATTATCTTAGAGATCCTGATTTTGTTAAGGAAGCACCTAATTATTTAGAAGAGAAAAAAGAGGATACCAATTAAAAAAAGAAACTTGCAAGAATTGATAGTGAAGCTTAGAAAATTTATTAAGGTGTTTTAAAATGGGGTGATTAAGAATTAAGAGCAAATTGTGTTAAAAAATAATAAGATTTAGATCCTTTGATATAATGGATGGCTGTAGAATTGAAGATTAATTTGAGTTCAGAAAAAACATAAATTGCAGATGATTAACCATTATCTAGAGATGTTTGGGAAGCTTATCATATTTATTAATTATATTTAATTGATTATTTGAAAAGAGTATAAGAAAGTTATAAGGAAAAAGAAGTTAAAGCTAATAAAGGATTTTTATTTAAACTTATATTTCGAAAAGCTATTGGAGATCCAAATGAATTATATTTAGCTTTTAATAATTCTTGGTTTAAGGAAAAATTGATTTTAGCAAATTTATGGGATAGATAAGGTCTTGATCCAATTGCACCTTATTAAGAATATTTTGTAACTAAACCAAATGAAGGATTATGGAGATAATATGAAGTAAGTGAGAAAGGACATAGATCTGAATTTATGAATATGGAAAAAATAAAGATTGCTTATGCAACAATTAGTAGATTTTTAAATATAAAAAAGTTAATAGAAAATGAATATATAAATTGTTATTTTGCTTTACATGATCCTTATCAATTAATGGGTTTATCAAAGGCTCCAATGATTAAACCATTAATTGATTTATAATTAGTTAGAGAAGTATAAAAATCACCTGGAGAATTAAAATTAAATAATTTATTTGTATCATTAAAAGATGAAGCTGAAAGAGCAGATTTTGATAGTGATTGTTTAGTTTAAGAATGTAAATTTTAATGGTGTCCACCTTGGACATTACCTATAGATAGTATGAGAGATTATTTTGGAGAGAAAATAGGTTTATATTTTAGATTTTTATAATTTTATTCTTAATAATTATGGTAAGTAGTAATATTGGCTATTGTTTGTGAAGGAGTGATTGATAATACAACAGGAGATGTAAAAAAGGCATTTATTGTTATATTTGCAGTAATATTGATATCTTGGTCAAGTTATTTTATTTGTCATTGGAAAAGATAATAAACAATGTTTTAGATTCAATTTGGTTAGAATGATTAAAGTGAAGGAGGAGAAATAGAAAGACCAGCATTTGAAGGTGATTTTGTTAGATCATTAATAACTGATTAACTTAATGAAGAATATTATCCAACATGGAAAAAATAATTTAAATTATTTTATTCAAGTTTTGTTACTTTAATAATAATATCAATGGTTATAGCAAGTGTAATAGGAGTATTCATTTTGAAAAAGTAAATTATAATATTAAAAATAGTTATTTCATTGAAGAGTATCCTAATGATTAGTTTTTGGTTTCATTTGTACCTTCTATGATAAATGCTATTGTAATTTAATTATTCAATCTTATTTACTTTAATGTTTCAAATAATTTAAATGATTTTGAGAATCATAAATATGAATAATCATATGAAGATAGTTTAATATTAAAAACTTACATATTTACATTTATAAATACTTTTAATTGTTTGGCAATTATAGCATTTTTAAATGAATAATTTCCAGCATTATCTCTTTGTAAAACATCTGATGGAATTAATTGTTATAGAGCATTAAAAGATTAGATGGTAACCATTTTCATGGTCAATTTTGCTAAAACATTACCATAATTAATTACACCATGTATAAAAGCTTTTATAAGAGGGAGAACTAAATAAGTAGATGAAAATTTAGTTACTCATGAATTTAATTAAATTGATGAATTTATAGAAAGTCAAGCAAATCTAGAACCATATGTATCTAATGCTGAAGTTGATGGTTTAATGAATGATTACATGGAATTAGTAGTTTAATTTGCTTTCCTTTAATTATTTGGATTAGCATTTCCACTTAGTTATTTTATAGCTTTCCTTACTAATTTAACATAAATTCAAGTAGATAAATTAAAATTGATTCATTTTATATAAAGACCAATACCATCTTCAGCTGCAAATATAGCAAACTGGAGTTTCATAATGGATGTCATAGCATTTTTATCTGTATTTTGTAATGCAGGTTTGATAGTGTTTACATCAGGAGTTGTACCACCAGATTCTTAATCATCTTCGTATGCTATTTTCGTTATTGTCTTTTTGGGACTTAAATATTTCTCATCATTTATCATATCACCTGTTCCTGAGAAGGCATCATTAATTATGACTCGTCATAAATTTGCTGTTGATAGGGTCTAGAGGGGAATGAGAGATCAAATTAAATCTTATTATACTGGTAGATTAAGGGAGAATATTGATGGAGTGGATTATGAAAAAATGTAGGAATAAGAAAAGGAACATCTATTGAAAGGACCTAATGTTAATGTTGAATTAAGAAAGACATGATTAAATAATTATTTGATTATTAAAATATATAGATATATATATATATGTAGTTTCTTTATATTTGAATTTAATAATTATTGAAATACTCTAAATCATATGATATTTTATAGATCATTCTTTGATATTTCTCTTACTCCATATTGAATTAATTATTAAATTTATTCTGTCACTTAAAATATCATTATTTCATCATGGTTATTGCATAAATGTTATTTAAATTTATTAAAATTATCAAATTTATCATAACACTTTACACATAAATAGAATTTGTACTCACAATGTTTCTGCAATAAATGAAGTAAATATCCTTTTCTAGTTTTGCATATCATTTAACATTTGTTACAAATATTTTTAGAACCTCTTATACTCCAATTCAATTTCTCATTCAACTCACGAAGTATAAATTTTTTATAATCATTTGCATATTTTTCTCTTTCTTTTATATGATCATCTTTTCTTTATGGAATATCTATATAATCACATTCATTAGAAAGAGTATGAGTAATAAGTTGATCTAATAATTAAGACATTCTTTCAACATTCCTGTTTACAGTTGTTGTTACTTTACTTAATTATCTCCATATCTCATCAACAGGCATTAAATTATTATTCTCCTACATCATAACTTTTTTTACTTTTAAGAAAGCTTGCTTATAATTTTATTAATTAAAATGGCAATTAAATTTGCATTATAAAAAATTAAATATTTTAAATATTAAATTTCTATATAAATATATCTAACTAATCAATCTAAAATAAAAATTCATATTTATAAAGTATATAAATACAAAAACTCATTTTCTAGAAAATTATTTTATTTTTTTTAAATAAAAGTAGTAGAGATCCTATTATACAAATAATTAATAATCCAATAATTCTAAAAATTCCTTTTCCATATCATTTAATTCCTACATAGTGATCCCTCCAACTTTAGCATAATAATCATTTTTATAAATATCATCATCCTAATATTTTATTGCTAAAACTATAGCAATAATTAAATATCTATGTTTAAATATTATAAATACCTATGTGCACTTTAGTTGTTTAATTATAATTCTTAATTTAGCTCTTAAATTCTATCTAAATAAATTAAACCAATTATAAGACATCCCTCACTACATTTAGTATATCTCATAATTCTAATCAAATAATTTTCTAATGTAATGTTTGGAATTTTTTAAGAATGAAACAAAGAGTCTTAAACTTCTAAAACCTCACTTTCTTCAATTAACTATTCCAAAATGGCAGAAATGCCTTTTATCAATCTACTTTCTGATTTTTTATTACAATCTTTTTCACAAACGACAAGCCTAATCTCAGTCATATATATTTCTATTAGTATTTAAAGTTTAATTATAAAATTCACAAATGTTATATTGACATAAAATACTTCCACATATACAATCAATTTATAATACCGATATTGTATGAAGAGATGATTTAAATTTATTAAAGAAATTTATATAACTAAAAAATATTCTAATTAAAATTCATTAATTATTTAATTATAAATAGTGATAAGAATCTAAAATTAAAAGTATTATGATTTCACATTAGTTAAATTTGTTAAGTTTACCCATTAATACTTTATATAACATACTCTAATTTATACCTATTAGAGATATTTATAAACGTATTGCTCGATTGAATAAGAAGGCTAACAATATTGTAAATTAATAAGGATTTTAATAATCTCTTTAAAGATTATATTTTGGAAGTTCAATTAAAAATATTCATCTCTCCTAAGCAAAATAAGTGGAATTACCCTTTTTAGGATATGAAACAGATGGACGTAATAATTTATTTTTAAATTATAGATTGTCCAAATCCAGAATAATGGATTGATTTACTCTTCATGAAAACATCCAATAGTTAAATTAAACTTTAAAATTGTAATTATATTAAAGGATCTCTTTCAAAAAAAAATAAAGAATTTAAAAAAAAAGTATTGGAATTTCTAGGTCTTGTTAAAAAGTATTTACCACCAAATACATATGAAAAATAGAAATTTTATGAAGTTCAAATTGCAAAAATATATGAAATTAGTCATCAATTAAGTTAAAAAGTGTTAAATATAATTTCTTAAGAAGAAAAATAATATGCAACTGATATTATGAGTTTTTTTTGGAATAGGATACGTTAAAATTAATAATTGATATAACGTCATGAACTTCAAGTACCATTATAACCTGATTACTAAGGAATCATTAAGGTTATCAGAATTGGTATTGAAAATGGATATACTAAAATGGCTAAAGTTATTCTTATAAGTACTAATGATGTAAAAGATATTTCTAACAAAGTTGTATTAAGAACCAATATGCCTGAATATAAGTTAGTAGCAAAATAATATTAAACAAAAGAACAATTCAAATTTGGTTATTGCATATTTTAATAAAATCAAGGAGTTATTGCATTAATTGATCTTAAAGATGAAACATAAATTGAATTGAAATTCTATAATCATGAAACTTAGATTGTCTCAACAATATAAGTTTTTATTTTAGAATATAAACAATCTAATGAAGGATAACTTGGATAAGCATTTAAATATATTGTTGCCTCGGGATATTTATTAGTATAATGACACATGAATTTAATTTACTAATTTATTAAAATTAATAAAATATAATTAACACTTATGATTTATTTAAATTAATAAATGATAGACAATTTAATTTCTTTTAATGTATTAGTAAATTATTGGATTATCGTAAATTTGTAGTTGATCTTAAACTTTATTAATTATATATCTCACTATTTGGATGTAAAAATTGATTCTTTCACATTGATTATTATAATTGAATATATTATATTTAAATGAATATTATGAATAAAATAAAATATTGTATATTCATTACAGAACTGAACCTAATTTGAATAATAAAAAAGCTAAAGTAAGTGATAAAAATTTGAAATTCAAGATCTATAGGAAATAGTCTCATTTGATGATGGTTATGAAAGATAAGACTGGAATTTATGAAAGCCAAGATATCACTAAAAGGATGAGAATATAATAAAGTACACTTAATATACAAAGAAGTATTCGGACATAAGGGATTATAATAAATTATTAACACAAAGATGAAAATTAATATATTGAAGATTTGGAAAATTATAAATTTATAACTCTTTCTTATGAATCATAATTTTAAGAAATTAGCATTTTCAGGTATCTAAAGAATTCAATATATTTGCTGGTTTTTTGAATGTGAATGATTATAGATCCTAAATTGATATGAAACACAAGGGAAATATGAAGAAACTTAAAATACATCAATAGTTCTTAGCTTAATTAACAAGACGAATTCAAAGTATTAAATATGAAGTTTTTCAGAAATAAGAAAATAAAGTTTTTTAAAACATTAAAGAAATTTTATAAAAAATTAAATGTATTAAAATTAAAGAAATAAACTAAATTCTAAATATGATTTGCTAATATTAAAAATTTATTTTATATTATTATAAATTTATATACTAATTCACTACTCTAGTCATTACTTATATATTTGATTAATTCTATCTATTTTCCTTTTTTATAAAAAAAATATTTTAATTTATATTATGAAAATATTTTTTGAAGTGATCTTCAACAATAAAATATTAATTACTGATACTTGAATATATATATACATACATATATCAACCTTCTTGTCCAAATTCCTTGGTCCACCTTTCAAACTCTACTAATTAATCTTTGGACACAGATTTTTTGGATTTTTTCAAGGCTAGTAAGAAATCATTATAGCAGACATCAGGAATAGCAATATCTCCTTGATTAAGTTCCATAAAGGACTTTGGAGTTCCCTCTTCATTGTCTGCTACTGGAGTCCACTTTAATTGACCATCAACTGAAATCTGCTTGAATTATTTAGCAGATTGAAGTTTACGAACTGGTTCATAGACCGCATCTCGAACGAAAACACTAATATCTGATCCAGAGTATTCTTCTGTTTTAATAGCAAGATCTTCAAATTGTTCCTTTGTTAAAGTTGTTTTAGTTTTCTTAAGTGAATTTTATATCATAAATTCTCTAGCTTTTACATCAGGAAGTGGAATATAAATTCTTTTTTCAAATCTATAAATATTTTATATTAATGAATACCTTCTTCTAATAGCAGTATCTAGAGCCCATGGAAGATTAGTTGCTCCAAGAACAAGTACTCCCTTATCATCATGTCCAACTCCCTACATTTAAACTAAGAATTCAGTAATGACTCTTCTGCTGGAATCGTTTTGTCCTTCTCCTCTAGCTCCACACATAGAATCGATTTCATCTATGAAAATAATAGATGGCTTTTATTCTCTTGCCATACTAAATAGAGTCTTGATCAATTTTTCACTCTCTCCAACATATTTAGAGATAAGATCAGCTGAAGATACTGAAAAGAATGTTCCTTCTGCTTCTGTTGCACACGCTTTTGCTAAAAATGTTTTTCCTGTTCCTGGAGGCTATTTTTTTTGATTTAAATTTTTACTCCATACATAAGGATTCCCTTCCATGGTGTTCTTGCTCCTTCAAAGAAATCAGGGAATTTAATTGGAAGAAGGACAGCTTCTTGTAATGCTGATTTAGCACCTTCTAGACCAGCAATATCAGTCCATTTAACATTAGGTTTATCTTTAACAATAGCCTCTGATAGTGCATTAGAAAATTCACTCTTTTAATCTTTGTCTCCCTATTTTCTAAATGATGAGTAATATTACTTTTATTATTATTAATGGTTTCCTTCATTTCCATTAGAATCTTAAACAATTTCACCTTTTTCATATTTTTCTAAAGTGTCTAATCTTTTAGAGGTTTCTTCTCTCCGAGAATGGTATTACAATTATAATTATTTTTTCTTCTCATCATATTCTCCTTATAATATAGAATGTAGATAAAATACTTTCAATCCACAATTCCATTTTTCTTAAACCTTAGATAATACATTTTATCCAGTATTCCATTTAAGATCTCCTGACTTAAAGAGACTGATAACTTCACTTTAAAGTTTAGAGTTATCTTAAGTTAATGGTTTGGTATATGGCATAGGGACATTCATTTTAATAATTTCTATATAATTATTAAAATTTCATAATAGCAGTCATATATTGAAATCTTTTTCTCTTTTATTGCTTATGTCAAACACAGAAATATCAATTAAGGATATCTTTATATTAATATTATTAGTAAAATAATTTGTGTATTCTTTATTATTCATTAAAGTAATTATAAATAATAATTGGTTTTGTTTGTTTTGGGTAAATTTTTAGTTTTGAATTTTATGTTTGAATGAATTTTATAGTATTTAGAATAGTTAATAAAATTGTTATTGGATTATCAATGTCATAATATATGAGATTATTTATATATCAGATTCAGTAATTAAATTTAAATTTTTATGATTCAATATATCATTGATGATAATTATATATAGCACCTTATAAGTAGATCCATTTATAATGAATTTACATTATTTTTGAATTACTTTAAACTAAAAACCATTTTTTTATATAAACAAACTACTTGTCTGTATTTATTAACTAAAACCGAAAAATAATTAATAATAACTCATTAGACAAATTTAACAGTAAATATATATGCATAAGTAGCTATTTTATTTTATAATAGAAAAACGGGTTCCATAATTAATAAGACTAATAATTTTTAATTTTGTACATTTTTTAGACAATCAATAATCATAAGAGTATTTAGAAGATATTCCATTTGATTAAGTTGACCCCAATTGATATAGTATGGTAATAATGTAAACTTATTTTTATTTTCATAATTATTCCAAGAAGTTAGTAATTTAAATAATTATGTATTGTTATATATTTTAATTAATTCTTTCATATATTGATTCATAAACCTAGCATTGTTGTTAAATTAAAATGAATACAATGTATTGATCTATGAATTTTTCAAATATATTAAATCTAGATTTGATATTTTTAGTAGAAAGAATAAGACTTGATATTCAAATTCAGTATTGCTTCTTTGAATTGTTATCTCGTTATTTTTAGTTCAAATTTAATTAGATTCAAGTATAATTCTTCTGTTTCAAACTTGAAAAAAAGTATTCATAATAATTTTAGTGTTTAATTTAGGATTCCATCAAGCTTTTATTTGAAATCCTATATTTTGTAAACTAATTGTAAAGAAAAAAGTTTTGATGATATATTATAACTTATAAATATGGAACAAAAAAAGTAAATCAGGTTGAAGTTTTTTTCATTCATCATCTCCAGAAAANATACATTTTATCCAGTATTCCATTTAAGATCTCCTGACTTAAAGAGACTGATAACTTCACTTTAAAGTTTAGAGTTATCTTAAGTTAATGGTTTGGTATATGGCATAGGGACATTCATTTTAATAATTTCTATATAATTATTAAAATTTCATAATAGCAGTCATATATTGAAATCTTTTTCTCTTTTATTGCTTATGTCAAACACAGAAATATCAATTAAGGATATCTTTATATTAATATTATTAGTAAAATAATTTGTGTATTCTTTATTATTCATTAAAGTAATTATAAATAATAATTGGTTTTGTTTGTTTTGGGTAAATTTTTAGTTTTGAATTTTATGTTTGAATGAATTTTATAGTATTTAGAATAGTTAATAAAATTGTTATTGGATTATCAATGTCATAATATATGAGATTATTTATATATCAGATTCAGTAATTAAATTTAAATTTTTATGATTCAATATATCATTGATGATAATTATATATAGCACCTTATAAGTAGATCCATTTATAATGAATTTACATTATTTTTGAATTACTTTAAACTAAAAACCATTTTTTTATATAAACAAACTACTTGTCTGTATTTATTAACTAAAACCGAAAAATAATTAATAATAACTCATTAGACAAATTTAACAGTAAATATATATGCATAAGTAGCTATTTTATTTTATAATAGAAAAACGGGTTCCATAATTAATAAGACTAATAATTTTTAATTTTGTACATTTTTTAGACAATCAATAATCATAAGAGTATTTAGAAGATATTCCATTTGATTAAGTTGACCCCAATTGATATAGTATGGTAATAATGTAAACTTATTTTTATTTTCATAATTATTCCAAGAAGTTAGTAATTTAAATAATTATGTATTGTTATATATTTTAATTAATTCTTTCATATATTGATTCATAAACCTAGCATTGTTGTTAAATTAAAATGAATACAATGTATTGATCTATGAATTTTTCAAATATATTAAATCTAGATTTGATATTTTTAGTAGAAAGAATAAGACTTGATATTCAAATTCAGTATTGCTTCTTTGAATTGTTATCTCGTTATTTTTAGTTCAAATTTAATTAGATTCAAGTATAATTCTTCTGTTTCAAACTTGAAAAAAAGTATTCATAATAATTTTAGTGTTTAATTTAGGATTCCATCAAGCTTTTATTTGAAATCCTATATTTTGTAAACTAATTGTAAAGAAAAAAGTTTTGATGATATATTATAACTTATAAATATGGAACAAAAAAAGTAAATCAGGTTGAAGTTTTTTTCATTCATCATCTCCAGAAAAGTGATAATTATTGTTGTAGAAATCTTCATCAATGAAACTATCTTAACTTTTTTCCATCATAGGAAGAGTACTTTAATTAGATAAACATTCATGAGTTTCCATTTTAGAAACTTGGCTTTGACAATTTTCATACTATATATGTTCTACTTCCTCTTAGGTAGAACTAACCTAAGTAAATAAAAAGTTGTGGTTGTGTCTGTGACTCATTTTTATATGATATTTAATTAATGATATTTGATAATTAAACCAGATAATATTTATAATCGGTATTAATATTTTATGAAAAATAATCAATCCTTGTATAAATCTTTTAAGCATACGCCTTCAACATTTGAATAACTGATGCGATAATATCATAGTTTTGGTTTTAAAAATTAGTAGATATTATAAGCATGGCAATAATGTGGATTTAATACTTTAACATTTCATGAAGAATTAATTAGAATAAGGTAACAATTAAAATTGATTAATCAGTTAAGAAGAAAACCAAAATCTAAGTGAAGAAGATCTAATGAATTCCTAGATGCATTTAAAGAAATAATTGAAAGAATTAGAAGAAAAAGATTTAAAACATGCTATCCAACTTTCAATAGATGAACAAAATTAGTACCATTTATAAACAGTTTTAGATAACCTCAAATTGAATAATAAGATAGATCAAGTAAGTGTATTCCAGTTGGATTGAAGAATCTTGGAAATAGTAATCAAAATCAATATTATATTTATAGCTTGTTATATGAATGCAATGTTACAAAGTCTTTTCAATTCACTTCCATTTAGATAATTAATATTTTCAATTGATTTAAAATAAAACTCAACTCTTGAAGGTGTTTTTCTATTACAATTATAATAATTATTTGTTCAATTATAAGAAACCAATAATTCATATATTAATCCTCTAAAATTATTTGAAGCTTTTTAAAAATATAAACCTGGTGCTTTGTTAATAAAAGGTGTATAGAATGATTTTAATGAATTATAAAATGCTTTTTTAGAAGGTATTGAATAAGCTCTTAAATAAATTGGAGAAGATGAATTAAAGAAATAATTTTGTTAAATGTTTTATGGAGATTCTAAAGAGATTCTTACATATAAAGAAAAAGAATAAGAAGTTATAAAATTTACAATTACTAATTTTGGATCAATTAGTATAGATGCTTAAGATAAAAATTTAGAGAAAGGATTTCTTAATACAAGAATATTAATTATAGATGAATATGAAACTAATTCTAAAGATAAAGTTAAAGCTAAAATTGATTAAATTATTCTTTAACCTCCAAAAATATTATAATTCTATATAAATAGAGTTTATTATGATTCTAAATAGAAATTACCATGTAAAAATAATGCATAATTTGAATTTCCATAATAATTAAATATCAATTAATTTAAAGCTAGAGATATTAAATAAATGAATTAAGAATTATAAAGACTAGATATAGAAGAATAAAAAATATTAGATGAATTAACAAGATATGGTGATTCAAAAGATGATATTGATGAAAATTTTAGTAAAATAATTAAATTATTCAAAAGAGGAGAAGGTTAATTTGATTAACCATTAATTATTGATGATTTTTAAATATGTGATGAAAATACTTCTAATTAATAATTAATTACTAGTCAATAAATGTTATTTTAATTAGAAAATTATAAAAAAAAATTTATTAAATCTATTTAATTACTTACTGATCGATTAGAATAAATACAATTAGAAAAGAAATTATTATTAAAATCAGATTAAAATATGTATAATTTAACAGCAGTACTTATGCATGATGGTGGTGCAACATCTGGACATTATTATTGTTATATATTAGATAAAAATGATTATAAAACTTGGTATAAGTGTAATGATTCATTAATTACAAAAGTTGATTATGCTTAAGTAATTAAAGATGCTACAGGATAAAATAGATTATAATCAAATGTATCTGGACTTATTTATGAATAAGAATCTTGGATGAAAATACAAAAGATTTAAATCACTCCTAAACTCTTAGAATATTTAGATTAAGAAAGAATTAAATCTCAAAAATCTTCTGATCTCTAAAAAATTATGAATAGAAAATCCAATATTATTCAATAAATATAAAATTATCCTTTAAAATTTTGTAAATATAAAGATCCCTTAAGTAAAGAACTTGAAAAATTTAGTAATTTAGATCTATTTTTATCTGTAAATCATCCAAATTTATATAAATACTCATAAACTTTAACATTTATTTAATAAGATTTAAATTAAATTAAAGATTAACTATTTTTACCATAAAATATAGATGAATATATTCAATACTTTATAACATAATCAAAATTGATTAATACAAATATTGATAAGGAATTGGCTATTTTATAAGATGAATTTCAAAAGATTAATTCATTATTATAATAATTACCATTAAAAGATTTAACATAAGCTAATTTTCAAGATAATACCTAATTATTCTTCTTGATTATACAATAAATACCATAAAAAGATTATTGTATTTAATTAT